TAAATACAACATTAGATGTCATGCTACTAAGTTTATTGTCATTGTCTAAAATTAATATATGTTTTTAATCCATCTCTGCTTTTGGTTTGGACAATACAACATACAACTGATCATGAGTGAACACTACTATTTGTCTCAAAAACAAACTCACTTTTAATAACGACTATCCTTGATTCCTTTTTTATTGTCATTGCAAAACATACAGTGAGTGGATTGTCTTCTTTGAAATATAAAATAAATCTTTTTATCTGAAGGCATCAAATACATTCTTGGAATAAACATACGATTTCCAATATTATTTGCGGATATTATATATGTTTCAATAAGACGAATATCCAATGTTATAGCCTGTAGCCTCGTTGCATTACACAAACCGCATTTACGATCAATATTCATTCGCAACATAACTGAAACACGGAGTTTTAATACCAACTTATGAATTGGCAAACCTGGCGGTTTAAAACTATTTAGAACATCAAGTGAGTATTAACTTTCATCAAAGTCACCATGAACATAATTTGAATGATAAAAACTATCTAAACTTAAGTATTTTTTTCAACTCCAGAAATAGTGATAACAAGCGATCGTTTATTTCATGAACAACTTCATTTTTAGGTGCAAGCATTGCTCTTTTTGGAAAAAAAAAAATCAGATTCTTGACATTTTGAAGAATAAAAGGATAAACAAATTCAACTAATAAACAAACAAAGATCGTCCATGAAATCAATAATTACATCGTCATCATTTAAACCAGCAACATTTCCTTTCTCCTATAACTAAACGCCAATTTACAAATGTTGTTTCTTCAATATCATTTGAACACTTAAACTAATGTTTTTCGTTAATCTTAGGATTTTGCATTTTCAGCAAACGTATGAGAAACTTAATGAAGCATTCTCAATATCATGTCTACTTCCGTTTGGAACAATGGGTAGACATTGTCTGAAATTGCCTCCAAATGGAAATTCTGAATTGCTACGAAGATCACAACTCAATATATTATTCAAAGATAGATCAAACGCTTCAAATGCGTACTTATGAATCATATGTGCCTGATCATAAAGTTACATAGATTATTTTTATAAAGCATTGGATGTTTTGTTTGTATATCTTTCATCATTATTTTTAATTAATTTGTAAAATGGTTTTAAAACATTAGCAATATGCTTTAACTCAAGATTAATGAGAAAATCATCATGCATAATGAAATATAAATTTTAATATCGTAAAAACCTAATTCAATCATATATTGCAATACCATTGTTTTATTTAAAATATCTATAGTGATAATTTTAGTTTGCTAATAACTTTTATTATTGTATTATTCTTAAGAATATTTTTAAACAAACTCAAAAAAGTAAGAAAACAGAGCACAAAAAGAAAAATACTGACATATATGAAAAAAAAAAATTTCTTAGTTTATTTAACCAATAATCATGAACATGTATCATTATCAAAACATGTTGATAACATTATCAAAAGTTTTCATAAAATATATTTTGATTATTTCTAAGATATATTTAAATTAATTTTTAATCTTACAAACTACATAATATATAATATATGTTATAATTGAAATTTATCTTATAAATGGGTTTGTAAATTTCATTCCTGATGCTACGAGTTTTTTTATTTAATTATAATCTTTTGTTGATAATATATATATATAATAATAATAATAATAATAATAATAATAATAATTTTAAAATTTACAACTTTATAAAGATTAAATTATAATTATTGCTAGGGATATATACACTGAAATCCTAATATTTTCATCGACTTGATAAGAAAGTATTAAATTTTTTTTTACAGTAAAATCCTAACTATTGACAGTTTTTGACACTTTTACCTTTTTTTCGATTAACCGGTAATTATGACTTTTTTTGTCAAAAAAATAATGTTTAGGATTTTCTCGTCAAATCGTGAATTACAACTTTATTGTCAAAAAAAATAAAGTTTAGGATTTTTTTTGTCAAATCGTTAAAAATATTAGGACTTTACTGTTTTTCTGTAACTTAAAAACTTTTAATTGTGCCTCTTGTTGCAGCACCATTATTTTTCTTACCATCATCATCTTTAACATAATACATTCACGATCACGAGAAACATATGCAAAAAAGAGAGCAAGAAATGGTGAAAAGACTTGTAAAATTTTCTTCTTGTTTTACTGTCAAATCTTGAACTAAAAAGTAAAGACAAATTATACAAACACAAACAACACATGCCTAGTCAACAAGGTGTGAATGTGGAGAAAGGGTACAAAGGGCAATTTTGTTTTTTTGTTTTTTTTTCGGTTTCTTAGTCTCCATTTTTGGAACTATAAAAAGTCAACACAATCCTGGTTCTTTCTTTCTTTCTTGATATCTTTATTTTTTTAATGTCGGTTTGTTGAAATAAAAAAAATCCTTAACAAGAAGCAAACGTTAACGATTTCAATAAAATCTAGCTAACTAAAGAATGTTTCAATAACTCTTATGCTTAAAGAGTATTATACCATTAAATTTCTAACATATATATATATATATATATATATATATATATATATATATATATATATATATATATATATATATATATATATACACACAATAAAGTCCTAATATTTTCAACGATTTGATAAGAAAATCCTAAACTTTATTTTTTTGACATCAAAATCCTAATTCACGATTTGATAAAAAAATCCTAAACATTATATTTTTGACCAAAAAAACTAATTACCGGCTAGCTGGAAAAAAGGGTAAAAGTGTCAATAACTGCCGGTATTAGGATTTTACTGTTAAAAAAATAAAGTTTAGGACTTTGTTGTCAAATCAATAAAAATATTGAGACTTTAATATATATATATATATATATATATATATATATATATATATATATATATATATATATATATATATATATATATATATATATATATATATATATATATATCCCTTATTGCTATTAATATAAATATGAATTTCATTTTATTTATTAGATGTTTAAAAAAGATAAACATAGTTTCAAACAATACAATGGTACACAAGTTTAAAATTCAAATTATTGTCATTATCTTAAATTTGATTTTTTTTTATTTGTCATTTTGAAAAATAAAACTAATAATTATTTAAAAAATATTAATGATCAAATAGCCCGTTTAAATAAATTAGCAAAAGAATTATATAAGTTAGCTAATAGTTCTTTTTATATTTATCGTTTTGAGAATCAATTGAATAAGTCCTTTTTTTCTTTGTTTGTAATGGGTTGTAATCTTGTATCAAAGTGGGGAAAATGATTCAAGAGAGTAATGCACTTTAGTTGTTGGTCACATTTTATCACTAAATTGTTTTTCGTACTTTATTTACTATTGAACTTGTTGAAACGTGTATATTATATTAATATGATTGGTAATAATGAGTTTTTCCGGTTTTCAGCATTGTTTCCGGCCAAAAATGAGATTTTCGATCATCTTCTCCGGTCAAACTCGATTTTCGGTGTTGTTTCTGACGACATCTCTGGCGTACGCAAGCTCTGGCTACATCTTCGACAAACGTTGCTTCCTTCCTTCACAACCCTTTTCCATCACTGACTACATTATCTCCTTCCTTCGATCGGTGTGCTTTCTTTCGATTTCTACAAAGATTGATTCAACGAAGCTGTTCTGTCGGGAGCTCTAAACAGTCACCAAGATCCGACGGGAGCTCACCGTGAGGTTTTTGCAGTTTCTGATCTCGTTTGGGATTTCTCTACTAGGTCGTCAGTTACTTATTCTTCTCTCAAAATCGATTAATTACTTCCACTTTCACCCATTTGAGTTGCAGGTTTGATGGATGGCAAATGGAGAAGGGTATGTGGGTTTGACGGGGTTCACAGAGAAAACAAGAGGTTTTTGTAGTTTCTGATCTCGTATGGGATTTCTTCGGTAAGGTCGTCTGGTGGTTTTAGTAGGTTATGGTAGGTAATTGGAGGTGGTTGGCAGTGGTTTTAGGAGGGAATGGTAGAGGTAAGGATGGTGATTGGTGGCTGATTTGGGAGGTGTTGGCGTGGTTTTAGGTGGAAATCAAGTTTGACCGAAGACAATAACCGAAAAACTCATGTTTAATCGGAAACAACGTTGGGAACCGACAAAACCCACTATTATCACTCATACCAGTATAATATACACATTTTCAACAAGTTCAAGGGTTAATAAAACACAAAAAATAATTTAGTGACAAAGTGTGATAAAAACTAAAGTACATTACCCTTTCAGGTCATTATCTCATCAAAGTGTGATGATTGAAAATGATATATATATATATATATATATATATATATATATATATATATATATATATATATATATATATATATATATATATATATACACTGCCATGGCGCGGATAAAAGCTTATGGGTTTTCTCCTGCTTATTCATTAGGGCGAGTGGATGATGTTTAGGGGTCGAAGAGTTGGAAGTAAAAAAAAAAAAAAAATGTTGATGTGATTTTACATGGCATTTGGGTTTGATGGAGGAGATAAATGATGTTCTTCTATCCTAGCAATATAATATAACTTCTTATCTTATTAAATATATAAAGTAACGATAAAGTTATCAAGAGGTGTTTGCCTAAGTTTGTTAAAACAACTTATTATAAGTTAAAAAAAAATATTTGGATAAAAATAACTTATTTCTATAAAAAAAACTACAAATAAATTATTATTTTCATAAGTTATTCTTTTTAATTTATTAGCTTATAAATGAATAAGCTAACAACCGATAAACATTTTTTTTTGTCAAGCACCGAACATAGAAATAAAAGGACAACGGATAAATATAAATAAAGAACAAGGATGCTCCCAATTAAAAAAATGAAATAGAAATGGTAGCTTTTGACGTAATATATATTAATTTAGCATAATATATATTAATAATTTAAAATGAAATTAGAAATACACATTTTAAATTATAAAGATACATCAATTATTTCTCTCCAATAATTGTGGGTCACAAATTTGAGTACAATTGATTGGATTAAATCAAATACAATGAAGAACTCTAAACTCGCATTTTGGTGAGATATATTTCAACATCAACCTAGCCGTATCCTCTTGTTTCACCAGCACTTCCTCCTTCTCCACCAACACCGCCGCCACAATCCTTTCATACCCACCACCGCCGGCAACCATGTACGCCACCAGCGCCGCCTGCACTGGCATCATACTCGGGTTATACGCCGCAGACTCCATGTAGGAACCCTTGTACACTTTCCCTTCACAATCCATCAATGCCACACCCGACGGACATCCACTGTAGGGAGCGTGTGAACCACGCGCCGCCTCCAGAGCCTCTGTTATAAGAGTTTCTTCGTTCTTTTCAATCAATTCGTGATACCCATTTGATAAATTCGGTGTATTTCCGTTTTGGGTGATCGAGGAATCATCTTTGAGAGACAACTTGTTGCTATGTTTCTCAAGAATTAGAGGCGTTTCTTGATCTAATAAATCAAAAGGGCCAAACGGGTTAGGTAAGATCGATGAAATCGGTTTGTAATCGGGGTTTTCTAGAGGTTGATCTGTGACTATGATCTGGGTTTTGGAAACTCCCCGAAGTTCTTGGAGGAACTGCCGGCAATGGCCACAAGGAGCGGCGGACACGGCTATGTTCAGTAGTTTAGGACCGCCGCCGTGGGCAGCGAGGTTGGTGATAAGGAACTGTTCAGCGTGGATGGAATGGTGGAGGGGAAGACCAGGGAACTCGATGTTGCCACCGAAGAATATTCGGCCATCGGAGCTTAATCCAACGACCCCAACGTTGAATTTCGAAATGGGTGTACGAGCGAGATCTTGAGCAGATTTAACGAGCGATGGGAGAAGTTGAGGGACAGTGAGACCTTTAGATCTCGCCATTGCTTCAGCTTCTGAAGCTGTGATTATGTATCTTCTTGTTGGTTGATTCATCCTGAATCCGGTGGCGTATGGTGGTGGTGGTGGGCGGTGGTTGGGTGTTGCTCCGTGAATCGAGGAGTGGAGGGGGAGGAAGGACAGATAGGATGGAGGAGGATATTTATAGGGGTTAATAAACTGATTCATATGCATTGAGGATTTGTATTGTACAACTAAATGACTCATATCTGGATTAATCTAGATCCTAAATATCATGATTGTTTATGATACCAATTCTTGGAGATTAGAAATGGTATATTCTTTCCAAGTTAAGTTTAAGATAATCTAAACTAGTTTAAATGGTTTATTTTAGTATTTTGTAAACTTATAACACTATTTTTTTTTTCTTTTTTGACACGGATTTTTTTTCAACTTTTGTTTACAATTATTGTCTTTATAAAAGAAAAAAAAAAACAAAAAACCTCATCTTATCCTTTCTCCCTCACGGATAGAGTTGCATACTTTTTGCATCTAATTTGGATTCAGATTTATGGATCCAACCGGTTCAGATTTAATCCGGATTTGGATTTGATAAAAAAAAAATTGTAGAGTTTAATAGAAATTTTGAATGGGATGATAAACCTAGTTGTTTATTATTGTAAAGTGTATTTAATAGATTTTGAGTTCAATAACAAATTAACCGATCAATACAAGAAAAAGATTTATAAAAATTCTATGAAATATAAGAAAATTTTATCAAAATTCATTATGGAGTTTGATGACTTAAAAACTTACAAGCTATGTTTAATTTAGGTAATTATAAATAAATAAAATTGAAAAAAATTACTGAATTTTATAAAATTATGCTTTTCTAAAACTTATATTTTCGTTAGAACTATAAAACTAGTTCTATAGTGGATCCCACCAAAGTACAAAAATAAAACCAATTGAACTATAAAACCAATTTAATAGTGTATCTCACCAAAGTACAAAAATAAAATCAATCTCAAAGTCACACGTTTAAAAGTCAAGTAAGGGTTTATTTGTTTACCACTTAATACCTTTTAATAAGAGATAGATCTCAATATGTAAGATTAGTAGTGTTTGTTTACCACTTAATATATCGTCTGAATCTGAAAAACACCACTTACCGAATCAAATCTAAAAACTCATCTGAAAAAAAAAATACACGCTTTTATCCCTAACCTAAACCAACGCATCCTTTTCTTCAAAACCCACGCATCCCTAACCTTCGCCATCTACAGTAGATCACTCATCCCCATCATATCTCTCCAGCCATCGTCACCCTGTTTCACCTCCGACGCTACCGTCCTTCAGCAACAAAGCAGGTATGTGTTTCATTCTTCAGGAATCGCTATTTCACCTCTTTCTTCTCTTGTTTTTTTTTTTTGCTTGCTCCTACCTTCGCTGTGACAATCCAAACCTTTTCCCGTTAACGTTAGCTTGACTCCGTTAAATAAAATTTGAATTCTATTTAGTTCCGTCAAATCCATATGATTTGGAAAAAACATTTAATTTATATAATTAAATTTTATATAAGAATCAGATTCAAAATCATGCGAAAATCTGGGTTTTTCCCTCGAAAATCACCAAAATTTGATCAATATGGTGTTCACGGCTGGGTGAACCCCACCACCAACCATGAACCCAACATATATATATATATATATATATATATATATATATATATATATATATATATATATACACACACACACGTTTTCCTACTCTTATTTATGTTTTTCTGGCCGAAAACACACTTTCTCTCTCTAAAAACCATCACCCGAAAACCCAAGTTTTCTCTTCATCTATCACTTATTCCACCTTGGAACACGTTTTGGAGCATCAAAAACCCATCTTTTCATCAAATCAAGCATTGTTGTTCTTGAGTTCATGGCTGTAAACCCTTCAAATCTTCAAACTTCAAGGGCTGAAATTGTAACGACCAAAAATTTCAACAAAATTTAAACTTTTCAAAAACATCCCAATTCATTAAGTTATTACAAAAAGGTTTTCAATACATTTATTATCAGAGTATTCTCATGTCCATATCATAAAACATAAACACGAGGAGCGGTACGATCACGCTTTTGCCTTGCCACGGTCTCCTGAAGAACCTGAAAAACATTAAACCACAACTGTAAGCCCGAAAGCTTAGTGAGATACCCCCAAAAGACCAACCACACATACCATACACATAACATGCTATATCATAATGAATCACAGAACAGCCATGCATATCAGGTCTACTGTGAGACTGGTCCGTCGTGTCAGGCCTTCAGTCCACCTGGTCCACCCTCCGAGTCTACAGTATGACTGGTCCGCCCGCATCGGGCCTTCAGTCGGCCTGGTCCACTCTCCGAGCCTCGGCACGTCTGGTCCGCCCTCGTGGGGCCTACAACCTATCCGAACCGCTCGCTGGGCCTTCGGAACAACCGGTCCGCCCTGGATATCTTAGCCTACAACACGAAGCAGGACCCGCCTCAACCCAACTCCAGTTCAATCAAACCGATCTAGCAGATCACGTAACACAACATACTCTAAGCAGGATACCGACCTAACCGGTCACTAGCATAACATCATCCTATATACCAGGATACCGACCTTAACCAGGTCTCTAACGAATACCAATCTAACTACCAAGATGCAGACATATCAAAGCAATAACATAACAACAGATACCCGGATCTCAATCCGATAAAGGGTCGGCCTTGGTGCCTTAGACCCTGTTGATATAGTGAGGATAACTCACCTTGAAACTGTCGGCTGAACGGATAACTCAAGCTGCTCCGACTACTGGTAGGATCTCCACCACTCGCCAACCACCAATTCACTGAACTTAAAACAATATTCAACAATTACCAAAATGCCCCTGGAAATCAACTGGTCAACCCTTGGTCAAAGTCAAAGTCAAAGTCTACCCCTGACTGACTCTATTCGCCGAGTCAACCCGATGACTCGCCGAGTCCCCATACACAGAACCTCCTTCAATTCGCGACCCAACTCGCCGAGTCACCCCGAGACTCGCCGAGTCCAACAACTCTGAGTCCACTCGCACACAACTCAACAAGTCATCACTTGACTCACCGAGTCACAGCCCTTCCAAAAGAAACTTGGACCATACGACCAGACTCGTCGAGTCTACGACTATCTTCAACCTACTCGCCGATTTGTTCTTATAACTCGCCGAGTTCCCAGCCATCTTCATCCAACTCTCCGAGTTGTTCTTCCAACTTGCCGAGTACCACCAGGTCTGAATCCATACAGAGGCTTTCCAAGCCATGCAGATGATCCAAACCATAGATCTACCTCTCCTAAGACCATCCATCACGTAAAGTGGCAATCTTTACGTGAATCCAAGGAGATCTAGGCATTTTCACCCTAGGTTTTGGGTGTGGGACAAGATAGCTCCATCAATCACTCAAAAACAGGGACCTTTATGCATTCTAACCCTTCTCCATTCCAGATCTGAGGTAGCAACCTCAGATCTATCCTCTAAACTCCAATACATCAAAAGATATGATCTCTAACACCTCCAAAAATGATGAATCTAGATAATAGCAGCTCAAACAATGAAATAATACCTCAAAAGGAAGCTCCAAGGGAAGGTTAATCAGAATCCTTGCAAAGTCCTTTGATCCAAGTCTCTTCTCCTTCAAGATTTCTTCAACAATCACTTCTCCAAGCTCTAAATGCACTCTACTCCCTCAAATTCGTGCCTTAGGGCTTTCTGGACTTCTACAGATGGTAAAGAGGCTGGGGAGAGGGTATAATGTCCTTTAAATGGGGCTCATCCTCCGGATTTAGGGTTTTCTCCACTCAGCGCCTACTCGTCGAGTCCATCCGCTGACTCGCCGAGTCGGCCACATAACACGCGATCAAAGTCGTGACCCTACTCGCCGAGTCCACCCATGGACTCGCCGAGTTCCCCTTCCCAATTTACTCTTTTAGCCCTTCAACTTTACTCTTGATATTCCGGGATGTTACAATTCTCCCCCACTTAATTTAGGCTTCGTCCTCGAAGCCTGCAGCAACTCGACTTTTGAGCTACTCCCGTAACGCACCACCTGGCATTAACCAGACCAGGTTCCTCAAGGCACAACCATCGAAACTCGGACTCACTTTCTCCTTTCTCATGGTGTCCTGACCATCGTCACAAGCCTGCCACTGGCTTTACCTTTTGATAACCACACCTAACAACTGAGTACCACCCATGATGCAACACTGCTCCAAATCACAACCATCACTCAACCCATATGAGCTATAAATAACTATGCACCACCAGATTCCTAATCCGAGTCCAACTATATGCATTCTATGCTGACAGAAAGACACATTCTTCAGTCTCAGAGCAACTCCCACGAGTTCTCTTCTTGCAATCACACGCACCTGCTGAACTAGCTCTAGCACCCTCGGGTTAGGGAAAACCCATCACACTGACGACACTCCCAACATCCCCCATGATGAACCACCACTACTTACACAATTCCTTGACCATAATCAAATCGGGAGTCCAAGACTCCATTCCTGCATCCATTCTGAGACTCTTGGCTCTATACCCGCGGAATTCCTCCTGCGACCTCAGCAGACATCCCAACATGATGTCATCCCATACCACCGCCGCAAAGCGCTGCTCAAAGACCACAATTGGACCACACTGATCATAACCCTGCGCTACTGCTTTCACTTCCGTGAATTTACACTCCCCTCCAGAACTACATTCCTCCCTCTTTCCTTACCAAGGAGATCCACTTGGCAGTCTTGACACTACCGCAAGCGCCGCGGTGCTCACCCAACACTACACCATTTCCTTATGGAATAACCGCTATCCCATGCACCATACATACTCTGAATCCACTCGCGAGAGCTCTCAAGTCCATGCACTGCCTCCACTAATCGTGATCAATATCCGGGGCCAGACCTTGCAACGCTAACATATCGCGACATACTCAATCCATTTCATCGCACCGATCTAACGACACATGCAGAGTCTTTGGCATGACTGGACCGCCTTACCAGGCCTTCAGCCAAACTGGACCACTCTCATAACCTTC